GGAGAGGACGCAAAACAAAGGAAGGAGAGAAGGTAAACAAATGAAAATAATAAACAATAATCAAGAAGATCCCAGGCGTGCATCGGAGAAATGAAGAAGTGAAGATGAGGGAGGACGAGACAAAAAGAAGAGGAGGGACAGGAGGAGGGACAGACGGAGAAAAGCCCAGAGGTAAATAGACAAACACTGATAGCACAGTGGCAGAGCAGTACGTCAAGCAAAGACACTACTGTAGTTACTGCAGCTACAGCAAGTAATTGTTTCCTACTGTGCCTTCTCTCACATGCACACTGTAGCTTGTTGACTGTCACAGAGAGGAGACCCACATTTATAGACAAAGATAAACATGAAGAGTTATTAGTGCTACGGGGATGGAGGAGTGTTAGTAGCCACATGATCTCAGGTGCAGTTTTTTTTTTCTATACAGCAGGTAACCACAGTACAAGGCTGCTGCTTCACCCCTGAAAGAAATCAATGAGCGTCTCCGTCTCAGCTGACACAGCACAGGGAAGCCGCACAGTATTACGTGTCAGTATGTCACTGGAGATAAACCTGACGCTCTTGTTGTGATTAATTCAAGTGGACAACATTACATATCCCTCCTTTGATTGTGGTTTGGCGAGCTGAAGAGAGATGTGGGACATTGAGAGGAGTGAATGTCAGCTCCCACTAAACAGATTGTATGACTCACTCAGTGCAAGCCGGGTTTTTACAACACTGCTGGCCTGGTTCCTCCGTCTGTGTGTGTTGCTGTGTGTGTGTGTTGCTGTGTGTGTGTGTGTGTGACTCACTCGTTGAGCAGGGGCACTGAGGTGCGCCTCTTGCTCTTCTGGACCATGTTGGCCTGATTTCGAAGGGAGATGCGTAGAGTGGATGGAGCCAGTCGGCAGGGCTCCCCGTCCACCTGCGCGCACACACAAAGATGTACGAGGGTCACCGTTGGAAGGACGAACCAATAATTAATTAGAAGATATGATAGTGCAGCTGTTATGTTAGCTGATTATATCTGACAGTGAGCCGAGCTGCTGCTTGAGCTCGGAGCTGTCATGACGACAGAGCAGCGGGGCTGAGGCAGGATGAAAATAGAGCTCCGCTTCATTAATCGCTCAGCTGACTGACAGAATATTATTCTGATGATTGATTTCAGTTTGTTTAAACATTCTCTTGTTTCAGCCTCTCAAACACGCTGCTGCTTTTTCTGTCACATCACTGTAAACGGAATATTTTTGATTTTCTACTGTTGGCGGCAAATAAACAAAACAATAGTTCTGGTAAATTATAGTACGCATTACTCACAATTTTCTTATTTTTTGTGGATAAATCATTTAAAAATCTTTTTTCAAAACCTGTGCTTGTGGAAAGCAAACAACCCTATTCTCATCTGCTCAGTGTCTGATCTTTGTTAACTAATTAAATTGTGGATTTGGGACAAATTTTACAGCAATTTTTAAATTGGTATTCCTTATTCTGGCAATTTATTCACACAAAAATAATAGAACTAAATACTTGATTACTTATTTAATCACGAAAACATTTACCCCAAAAATGATATATGTGGTTTCAAAGGTTGATTTGTCAAATTGCCTGTATTGGATCTTAAAGCAAAAATACTACCAGTGAATTGGGTAAAAATGGTAACTAATAGATTTCACAATAAAACCTCCCAGTTGATTACTTAAATTAAGACTATCATTTTTATGTATGTATAAGTTTTTTAATGAATATTCTTAAAAAATCCATTGTTATCACTGAATAATGAACACGTTTAAGACTTTCATTGAACACACGGGACATCTGTCTGCTGTTTTTAACCACGGACACATGAAATAAGTTGAAAGAGCTGCTGTGTCATGCGCCTCTGGAACATAGGAACCCTGCTCTAATTGATTTTGGCTGGATGTGGAACATGAGTGCTGGACTGATGTGATTAAGTGTCACAGAAGCCCTTGTCATGGTGGCCCATTACTGGATAAACTCCTACAGTGCTCTCCAACATGGAACTGCAACCTCCTCTGGTCACTACAGTGTTAAAGAGGAAGACGAGGTACTACAGCTAATCTACAGTACCTGAAGTGTATGTAATGAAAGAGAATGGTATCAGGTATTGGCAGATGTTAATGACTTGGAGTGGATCAGGGGCACAAAAACATGATCAGTAGAGAAGTGCATGAATTCCAAAACATCCTTCGACTGAATGACAGTTTTCAATAACACACTGAAATCAGAAATGTAAACCAAAATTCTTTACATTAAACAGGTAAACTACTATGAAGTGAATACTTAAAACCTCAAATTGCTAAACTGCGTTCCAAAAATGTAAAATCCTGCAGAGGCCGTATGCTGGAGAACATTTACATGGCAAGTGAACAAAGACCGCTGACAAAAGAACAGAATCCATCAAAACAAAAACAAAAAAGTCTCATAAAATTATAATCTGCACTCAACTGTTTTTTTTTGCAAGGTAGACAGTGTGTGGGAGTCGGCTTGAAACTCTTTCATATGCTCGTCCCTCTCCAACACACCTGTCTCATGAAACAGCCGTGTGAAGAGTTCCTTTGTTTCACTTTGTTTACAAATTATGCAGCTGGAGAAAAATCCATGCTTTTAGGAATAAACAGTTCCATAAATCAGACAATGAATGATGCATGAACAAACCCCTCAACAAAACCCTTCAGAATATAGACAGGAGTAAAAATGGGAAGGCTGGTGCATGTCGATGCTGCAGAAATGGGGATCTGTGGTTTCAAGTGTGAGAGAAAAAAAGTCTTTAAAGAAATGTATTACAACTGAAATCCACAGATGCTTTTGTAATAGTCTGAAAGAAGTCATGTTGACACAAAATAGCCCAAAAGCTCAAAATTGACCAATGCATAAAAAAAGATAACAAAAATTGCCCGTAGTGTCTCATAAAGACTGAACTAAACCACATTTTAAACTCTTGCCTCACATCAGAGCTCAGCTACGTTTTTTTTTGTTCTACAAATAGTTTAGTTGCCAGAATATATTTTTTTAATGGCAGGATAACTAAATGTTTGGTGATAACATGGCTACACCATTTGGCACTAATTCTTAAAACATGTTCTGAACATAGCATTGACAACATCTTTCCTTTGTTTCCATGTAACGCCGTGTACCAATGGTTTGTAGCGGAACATTTAATGAAGTGTTACCTCAACAACAGCCCAAAAACATCCTCAGTGCATTACAGCCAAAACATTTTTAACTTGTTGTGATATGTTAAGACATCACGTTATTTATGAAGAACGTTCTGTCATGTGAACGTAAACAACATCTCAAAAAAGATTTTTCAAATGACGGTTTGAGAACATTCTTCCTTTGATATCGCGTAACAGAATCTGTGGTTCTGACAACATCCTCAAAACTTCATCTCTATGTTCCATTTCAAAGTCTTGATTTAACCCTAGAGGGACATTATTTGAACTGATACATGCCCTGAAAACTTAGATACATTTTTTTTCCAAAAACATTAATAAAACTTGTAGATAACGTTTGCCAGTGTTGTGGGAACATTCCTTCCTAGCTGGGTTATGCCAACTTTTAACATTTAACTCCACAGCAAACGGAAAATACACAATGCATGAAAGAATGTATCACATGAATTTAAAGGTCACAATAATATTTATGACATATATACATATATATATATATATATATATGTATATATGTCATAAGTAATGCATGAAAGTATTGGCACCCCTGGAATTTTTCCAGTAAATAAACCATTTCTCCCAGAAATTGTTGCAATTACAAATGCTTGTGGTATACTCGTGTTTATTTCCTTTATGTGTATTGGAAAAACACAAAAAAAGCGGAAGAAAAAAGCCAAAACTTACAAAATACTACACAAAACTCAAAAAATGGGTTGGTCAAAATGGTTGGCACCCTCAACTCAATATTTGGTTGCACACCCTTTGGAAGAAATAACTGAAACCAATCGCTTCCTATAACCATCAACAAGCTTCTTACACCTCTCAACTGGTGCCAATACCTTTGTCCATGACTGTATATATATATATATTTATTTTTTTTATGTCTGTGTTTCGAGTGAACCAGGAATATATTTTCTATTATCTTCGTCTCATGTTGTTTGAAATGTGAAGGCGGTTGAACAGCCACTGTCTTGGACAGGTAATTCGCGTAACTTTTTCACATAACTGCTTTTTTCCCAGCCATAAACCTATATTTCATTATTTTAACTTGTTTGCTGACGTTATTATTCTCAAGCTGCGGTTGTTTTAAATCCTATAGATGACCTTACAGTACATTTAATCACTCAGCAGTCTAATAACTTCAGAGGCGGGTTGTGATGCCCGTGACTGTGTGATCACCTGAACAGGTACAGTCTTGAAGGTAGTGAGGACAACTTCTCTGCACTGGTGAAGTCTTTCTCCGTGACCTCCAACCTGCAGCGCTGCCTGGTGGACAAGAGAGAGATTCACACCATCATGACAGGAAAACAATCCCAGTGATTTCTTTCTTGCTATGTTGCTTTGGTTTCACATTTGTCTTCCCCTCTCCTATTTTTCTCACCAGCGAGGCCATGGTGAAGCCGATAACCTCGATGCAGCCATCATCATGGCGCTGTGGTTCAAAGTCTCGATGGTCGCCTGTGTTTCCCCACGGCATGGTGCCAGCACAGTACCTGCACACATGTAAAGATGTGCAACATCTGGTTCTCCAAAACAGCTTAAATGTTAGGTTAGCACTCTGATGAAACATACAGAGCACATCAAGATACTGGATAGACCCAAGCATCATTTTTCACATATGAAGCTGACAGCAGAGATTCCCCTCTGACCACACGGGTAATGAATTGTTTATATTGATTCAGGGGGGAATATTCCAGAGTGGTCTGGACGGACTGAAGTCAACAGCTTCAGTGTCAGAGTATAAAATCTAACCAGGACCTTGAGGCTCTACCTTCAGTCCACAAAAATCTCATTAGTCAGGTTTTCACTAGACAGTGTCTCATTACTTTTTCAATGCTGTTTTTCAAATGTTTTTTCACTGTAGTGGGAAACAGTAAATAATCAGAAGTACAACTGTTGACCATGGAAAATGACAGATGACACCCTACAGCCTGCTCTTCAGTGTTGAATGAAAGGCTTTGAGAAGTTAGATGTAATCAAAAAGTTTCAAGACTCTATCTATAAAAAGCAAAAAACATTTCTGATTTAAATTAATATCAGTTTAGAGGTAGTCTTCTTGTGCAGCGATGAAACATTCTCATTGCTCCTGCCACTTTTGTAACGCTCTCTGGAAGTCCTGTTCGGACAAGTTGTAGGTGCACGTTTGCTATTTCACCATGGACCTCAAACTTGTGCAGAAAGCAAACATCAAATTTGATGTTAAACCGACCAAATCTCAAAGTCAAGGATTATCAAACCCAACGAGCATCACAAGACCAAACAGCAGTCATCAAGATGGAGAAGGCCTGTCAGGTCAGCGGTGTGACCAAGAAGATGCTCATGGTTTTGGGTATTGCACCGTAGATTTGTCCACCAGACTGTGAAAGAGAGTTCTGCCGAAACTTTTTGAGGTGTCTAAAAGAGAACATTCGGCACAAATGGCCTGAATTGTGTTGCGTTCCATCATGCCAATAAATGCCCGCTCACAGCATGTAGAAAGTTTTTTTTGGCTTTAATAAAACAATCGTTGATTCCCGTCCGTCCCACTCACCAGATATGGCTCCCTGCAATTTCTTGCTCTTCCCCAAAATGAAATTCAAGTTTAATGGTCCAACTTCTGACAGAGCGGAGAAGTTTAGCGTGCTGCGCAGATGGTGGCCCAACGTGGCAGGAGCGTTGGGAACCGCGTATCCTGCATAAGAAGACTACTTGGACAAGGATGGGGGCCAAATTTTGATCAGGAAAAATTGTTGCATTTCAGAAGCAAAGTCTCGGACCGCCTTGATCACACTTTTTATAATAAATCGATCCAATCCTAACGGAAATTTAGTAAAATCTAGTAAAATTAGTCACTTTTCTTGATTCGCAATTCTGATGATTGATTTATGTCATTCTTTGTTGTGTGTCCTGATAAAACAAAAACACACCAACACAAAAAAGCAGCACTGTGACAATATGTGCAGCCAAAATCTACAGCATGTCGTCACCTACCTGGGAATGTTCAGAAACACTATGCACTGGAACTTCAGCTCCTGGATCTTGGGAGTTAGATCTGTACCATCACACTGTGGGACAGAGAAGGAGAAACTGTGATTTAGAAAGAGTCTTTTCTGTGTGATCTGTGGCTTCAGTCAGTGTTTTACAAGATTCATGTAACGGACCAGCAGGATAGCAACTTCTTCTCACTCTCAGATCCTTCATTTGCTTTTGCATAATGCGTCAAGCTTCACTCTCAGTTCTCAGGTTATACTCTCAGTGTGTTTTCGCTCTTGATCTTATGACTGTATTGAAGTGAGCGGTGGTAGAAAGCGACTGATAGAAGTCAAAGGTCATGCCAGCGCTAACAGGGCACCGTCGAACGATTTGCTGCAGCGACGAGATGCAATGTGGAAAAGAGCAAATGCGAAGTAGGATGTGTCGTTTTCTGAATACATTTAATGTTTCTGGGTTCAACGTTTTACATGGAATCATCTATTTTCACCAAGAATACAGGAAAGTTAACAAAGTAGATGAGTCTGTGTTTGGTAAAATCACCCTTTTACTCTCTGCTCATCAAGAAAGTCTGAACATAACCTATATTTTTTCTGTCAACAAATTCAACAAAACAGCCAAAGCCGACAACAAACCGATCCTAGTAACAAATACTGATTGTGTATCCAAAGTCTGGTATTATTCCTCTGTGCCGCTGAGCTCCATTGTAATCCGAAAACTATTAAAAACACATCAGTGAGCAGTGTTATTGCAATGAGTGACATGTTCCTGCATTATGATAAACACAGGCTCTGTAGTTTTGCTGCTGTAAACACTCACAAGAGAAACAGAATAGTCCCGAACAAAAGCACCACTTCCTCCTGTTTGAATACATTAGCTAAAAACTGCAGTGTCCAGCTGTTTGAGGAAATTACAGAGTCGCTTTTAAATGAAAGGATATATTCATTATCCAGAAGATTTATTTCTTTTACAGACAAGAACATGCTTGAGGCTGAGCGGCAGGGACAGTGAAGGAAAGTCAAAAAATATTGAAAGACGATTAAACCCGAAACAGTGTTGGGCTGCGCTGGCATAAAAACCCAACAGATGTGGTGTGCTGCCCTCAGGGGATCCATGACATACGCAGCATACTGTTTAATAACATCCCAGTTAAGGTCAACATGTAATATGGTGTGATACTTCAAAGGTGGAGTCTGCAAATGTAGAGAAAGAGTGTTGACATTTAGCAAGTTAGCATGTTTAGATAATTAAGATGAGATATGATACGACTTTATCAGTCCCCAAGTAAATTCTTGTATCAGGTATTGCTCAGAAAAAAACTAAAAGATATAACATAGGAAAGGCAGTGCAGCAACTTAAAATACATTTCAAAAATAATCAGAGATAATAAGCACGTGCCACACATCCCTCGCTACCATTTTTTCTCATTTAAGGGTCAGGGCTATGTACGAACACCGGATTGTTTTTCAGTGCACAGCAGCTGGAGAACCATGAGGAGATACTCACTGACTTTGAATCTCATACTCCACCTTTAATAGGACATTAAAAAAAAACTATTTAAATAAGCTCATCCTTGCTTTGGGAATTTGTGTCGTACATTTTTCATTATTTTCAGACATTCTTCAGCTGCTTAACCAAGAAAATAATCATCAGGAGTGATAATAAAAAAGATTTTTAGTTGCTGCCGTAACACCAGTGCAGAGGTCAGTGCTCAGGGTCAGCGGCGGAGCAGCAGCGTGGCAGTCCCACTAAGACTTCACCGCTCCACTGAAGGACACCTCAGCGTGGCAGACGTTACAAGAGCTGCTGAAGGACGGCCTTTTTAATCAGCCGGCCGACCTGCTGCCCAGACATGTCGACATGGAAAACGATACCGGCTGAGAGAGAGTGTGTTAACACTCACCACCACTCTGACGTGCTTGGACAAATCCCTGGAGCTTCTCTGGAGGAAATCTGAGAACGCAGCCTGTACACACAGACACACAAACGTGCACACGCACATAAACAGAGAAAAGGACCCAATCAAACAGAATTACAGCTCATTACATTTCCCTCATTAAAAAGAGATAACTCTCCTACATGTTTCCGCTCCAACTCCCACCCATCATTTCTCCTTTCCAGCTCGCATCCTTCACAGCGTAACTGCTGGATCCAAAAAACTACAAATCTAAGATTTCCTCACGGCTGGTTGATGTATTAGATTTCAATCAGACCAGGTCAAAAAAAACAATCATGCTGAAAGCTGCCTGAAGCTGGAAAAAATATGGATTTCTTATGGAACACTTGTGGTCAATAACTATAAATCTCAAGAATAAAAGGTCAAATGACATGACATTTGTTTAGCAAGCACCTGGGATGCATACGGCACGACTGACTCTGTTCACTATTGATCCAAAACCCCCAGCGAGTGTAAAACATATTACTTTTTCCTTTTAAAAGACCCAACAGAATTTCTGCTTTATCATAAGCTCCTCTCTCTTGACGATAGCTGTTCTTCTACTTTGCCTTTACGTGCATTTGCTCCTGTGGATTTTCCCAGCTCCACATTGTTCTGTCTCTAAGCTCCCTAAATCCCATCATTTACCTCTCAGTTGTCATTCTTACATGTGTCTGAATACAGAAGAAAAGTTTGTGCTGCCAAGGTTTTTGTATGTGTGCAATAAGTCATGTGGGACACTCACTCCTGCATAGAACATCTTGTTGCGGAAGCGACTGTTAAACTTTTCTGGGTTGGCCTCTGGAAAACACACAATCAGAGAGGCAGAGAAAAAGAAGAACGCATTAAATGTGCTGCACAGACAGCGGGATGAAAACAAAACACAGAGGTGTAAAGTGAAAGAGACAGAAACTCTTGACTCATTTATGCATGCATATGTGTATCTGAATGTGTGTGCTTTTTTTTAAATATTTCATTTTACTCTGCTCATCTTTTTTTCACAGCAGTGCAGAATGATGCATTAGCAGGACTTAATGGAATATAAATACAGGGTGCAATGTGAGAAAAGAAAGACACTGAAGCAGCTTTCACAGACCTCTGGACTCGTGGAACTCCAGGGTGACGTGAGCATCGAAGCCCAGGCTGAAGTAGTTGTTGAACACATTCAGGGGCAGCTGAGGACAAAAGAAATATATGACAGTGAGTGTCTTTATATAAACATGACACACTCTATTCACAGAGACACCTCATATAGTGGTTGAGCACCAAGTAGCACTAATCCACATGCTCTTATTTAAACACAGGCTTTTATATTTTGATACCTTCTGTATGGATTTTTTCCAAACTGTTTTCCACTCATGATGACACAAATGACGTGTCAGTCTTTATGTAAACTGCAAAGTATTTGAGTGAAGAGTGAAATGACCATGCTGAGAAACTAAACACAAAGGAAAGGTGCCTTAGTGCTTCTTTTCAGAGATGCAGTGGTCCGTCTGTTACAAAAGGCTGCAGTTTCTTGCAGCAGCGCCATTCAAAGCATCACACCAGCAGACCCACACCAAAATCTTCCATCACATGATCACGTAGCCGAGTGTAAGTGCAGCTGGATTCTTTATGCACCACAGTTGTCCTCATGAATTCTGCTTCACACATTTTTTGACATTGGGACGCTTTCCATGGAGGTCAAGGAAAGTGCTCAGGAAAAAACTATTCGACTGAAACCACTGAGTCTACACTTGTCTTATCAGGAAAAGCACTCCTTGCTGCCTGAGTGCATTTTGTGCAGGAGATGGGAAATGTGCCACTGCAAATGTAATGAACAATGCCGTCCATTAAGTTCTCAAGGATATGATAAAGTGGAACTCCACTTGATGCCTAACTTAAGTTTTCCGAAGCGTTTAGCAAAACAAATAAGATGCATTTTTTCTGACTATTCGACCGCAACCCGGGACTGCATTTGTTGTTTTAAGTTGCTGTAAATTCCAGCCAGTCACGTCCTGCTGCTCTTGTTTTGTATTAAAAGGTTTGCAGTGAATCAGACTTTGATTGTGAGGAAACTACAGGATTATATTTGACACAAAAGTCCGTCAGTGTCAGCGTGCAACAATGCTGCTGTTGTTACTCTGTTAACACATCAAGTGCACTTTCCAGTGTTTTTCTTCTTTGGTTCGGTTGTAAAAAAAAAATTGTGGGAGGATTTGTAAATGAGCACGGGAGTAGAAAGCAATACAGTGACTCCTACCTGAACACAGATCAGACCTGGGAAAACTCAGAATGAAGTACTAAACATAACACAAAGTATGTTTTTTCCATGAGATTACATAAAAAATCATCACGTAAAAGTTCTGCATATAGAGGCATTAGCTTTACCTTATTCTAACCTTGTTATAACTCTCAAATAAATGTTTTTTGCGACCACGGTGTAATCACAACTAAACATACACACATATCCCAGCGGCCAACCCTGCATCCACACTGTGTCCTGACCTTCTGTGTTCCCTCCTCTGGCTGGACAGCACTCTTCTCCACTAGGAGGTTCCACCTGTCCAGCTGCACCACCGAACCGTCCTCCACATGACACAAAACCTTGGACACCGGTTCATCTGTGTAACCCTGTGGTGCATTAAGCAGATAGAGAGACAAAGTGAGTTTGCATTACATAACACATACACAGTTAGTAGTTTAAGTGCTGTGAAATCGAATTCAATATTTTCCACTATCAATAATATCCCTAATATCCCTTTAAAATATACGTGGAGGTACATGACTGCTTTTATTTATGTTGCACACATCATAAATGATTGTAATCAATTGGAAATAATTACTAGAAACTAGAGCTCCTGTCTTGTGGTTGTATGCGTCCATCAATCAATGATTTTGTAATGATGTTCAGATTTATATAAAATCAGCAGTGAAGACTTTGAAGTGTGTAGGATAGGAACAAAGCTGACTTTGACAGTAGACATTGCTTTAAATATGGATGTCTGTGAAATATAGCATCGAATAACAGCCAGAAAAGTGTTGATTGTGATGTCACAGTGAGGATGACCTTTTGGAAATAAAATGTCATCACGTTATCATCTTATTAGACATTTATGTGAAATGTTGTCATAATTAGCGTTTTAATAATAAAGCATGTTTTCTGAGGCCACGGTGACCTTGAACAAATTCAAAGACATTTCTGAGATATCATTTTAGCAAAATGGGCCAACAAATGGACAACCTGAAAACATAAAGCCTCCAGCCTCAGCTGTTGCAACAATGGAGAAAATTAATGTTGGCACAACAGGAAGGGAAGAAAAAGTTCCTGATATTTCAACTCAACAGTGTTCCAGTGTTGCGACCAAACCAATTAAATAGCTGAAAATCTTACTTTTCTGGTGTTTGGTGGAATGGTACATTTATAGCTCTTTCAAAAAATGACTGAATTGATTGTATTGATGTTATTTTTCTTCAGATATAACGATAGACTGTGACCGTGATGTCATCCAGCGGTTTTGTGTTTCACTGTTTTAATGCTTTGAGTCGCCATCTTGGTCTTTTGAAACCAGACGTAAACAGCAAAGGGTGGATAAGACCGAGAACCACGAGGACACTATACACACCCATAAGGTAGAAACTTGTCAATCACAAAGCAGCCATATCCTAAAACATATCCTCCTTCGTCATTTATTTTAATCTAAAAGGGACCATCATTTATGAATTGAACATCATGCTGAATTGAAGGAGATTTGAAGCAAGCAACTGAGACCATAAAATCTTTAGCAAAGTGTTTACTGAGGTAATAAACCAAGTGAGAAGTAAAGTTATTTTCTCATCAACTTCTGTACAACCTGACATCTTTTTAGAACCAGAGGCGGCGCCTCCTGCTGGCAGGTTCAAGTCATTCCATGTTGGCTTTATTTTTCAGATCTGGAAGCTACATCAAAATTTTATAAACACTCTATGGATGAAACAGCTAGCAAACAGAGGCCTTGTTGGTAGCGCAAGTGTAGGGAAACAGTATTGTTTTCTGAATTGGTTGTTTGTACCTGTGGTTTAAATCATATGACAATAAATTGAGGCTGGTTAGTAAAACAACAGGGTTTTTACTGCATAGAGGGACTTTTGGTACTACCCAAAAAGATTTAAGGTTTTTGTGATTCCGTTTTATTAATTGGGGTTTCACTTCCCTTCATTTTTGTTAATGAAATGGTGAAAAATAACATTGCACTGATTTCAGTCAAATAAGGCAACACAGACTCATTGTCTTTACTGTACATAGACTGATCACTGTTGTGAATAGTCACCCTTTCCAAAGGCCCATTCCATCCATCCATTATCTATACACCATAGTAAAATGGGAGAAAATTGAGCTAAAAGATGGAGGAAGAGGCTGAGAATGGCTAAGGAGAGTGAGGCAGATGTGGAGAGACAAGAGATGGGGATGAGGGGATGTGTTTGGAACAAAATTGTGGCTTCTACCCCATCGTCTCGTCTATCAAACTACCAACGTCTCTCTTTTCTTGTTATCGCTTGCAAACAAGAGTCCAACACACACACACACACACACACACACACACACACACACACAAAACATCCTCACAAAGTGAAAGAAAGAAAGAAAAAGTGGAATAGACAGCGAGAGCATGTAATGATTGGCTTTCAGTAAGTGATCATTGAGGCTACATGGCTGAAACCATCACTACTTTAACAGCAGAGACACTCACACACACACACACAATGCCATGTATTACATGAAGTCACACACACACACACCTGACACCTTCCTTTATCATTGTCTTCCTATTTTTTCCCACCATCAGTCATGTCTCTCCCTCTCTTCCTCCTCCCCCTTTCTTCTCTTCATCACATTTGTCATTCAGGCAGCTCTCCCTCATGTACATTATTCCATCTTTCGTTAATGCTCTCCATCCTCTGCTCTTGATTTTCTCCCTCCCTCCAGACAGGGTCAGGAAATCAATGTACCAAGGACAACATCGCACAAACACACACAAACACACACATACACACACATACACACAAGGAGACAACAGCCTCGTGGTAGCAGCTCTCATCAGCAGGACCTCACACACAGTCTGGTTTTCATGACTTCATAGTACATTACATTTGCTTACAATTATGTCCAGAAAATTCACCCGAACCACAACCGCCACTAGGCAACTCCAAACCCCTAACCTAAACTTCAACCAATCATTTGCCCTAAAATTACATCATTTATATTATGGGGACGTTGTTTTTTGTTCCCAAAAGGAAGTCGGGTTTCCACAGCGTGACTGTAAACAGATTTATGTCCCCACAACATGCGTAATACAAGGAGACACACACTCCGATGGCAAGTCACAGGGACGATCACACTCACACAGAGAGGGAGAGAGAGAAGAGATAGAGCAGAGAGTAACACAACTGAGTGTCACAGAGAGAGAGGAGAAGGAAAGGAGAGGAGGCGAAAGAAAGAAAGAAAGATGAGGAAGACTAGGAAGTGACAAAAGGAAGGACAGTGATGGTGAGAAGGAGAAGGAGAAAGGAAAACAATGACAAAGAGAAGGAAGTGAGAGACAGAAAGAGATGAGAAGGAGGAGAGAGAAAGGAAAGAGGATGAAGAAAAGAAAAGTAATTAAGGAAAAACAGTGGGCACAGATTGAGGGAATAAGAAGTGGTGGAAAGGTGGGGAAAGAAATGAAAGCGGAAGAAATAAGAGGGAAGGAAGCGAGGAGGAAGGAAAGGAAAAGGCAGGAAAAAAGCATTAAAATAGGGAACAAACGGGAACGAGAAGTAATCAAAGAAAAGAAACTGAAAAGGTAAGGCAAGCAAAAGGGGAAAAAACAGAAAAGGGAAAGAAAGAGGTGGTAAGAACAGGGCAGGAAAGAAACAGAAATAGGAATGAGAGGGAAGTAAACAAAAGCAGCGGAACAGGGAAGAAAACAAAAGAAAGCAGAGGGCAGGAAAGAACAGGACTGGGAAAGAAAGGAACAAAGCAACAGATACAAAATGGATAAAAACTGCTGCAGTCACATTCGCACAATGGAACAGAGGACAAAAAAAGGACACAGCAGCTACGCTAATTACACAACTGACAGATGTATCTCATTGAGCTCCGTCTTCGCTCAAAGCGTCTATCTCTGGATGTATCAGGAGCTTTTCTGCGCTGTTCAATCCAGAGCTGCGAAGTCATTCACACGTCCTTGGTTCATCACTCAGCACAGTACATGCTGACTGCAGACTGTACAACTCATTACACTCCACCACAGCAAACTACCAACTTCATTCTCATTGGAATGAATATTTCAGTCCTCAGGAAAACCCAGCAGTCACATGCGAGTACGTCACATTGTCATATTGATGTAGAAACACAACACAGAAGATCCAGATGATTAACCCTCCTTGAGACTGAAACGATTCTTAAGAAGATAATGTTTGATGTTATCAGAAAAAACATAATGAAAATCAACAGAAATAACATTTCAGATTGTTTGACTCACACTTTTGACTCATAGTGAGACATATTTGATGTCTGATCATCACTACAAGCCCACATAGCTCATCTAAAGAAACGTCTAATGGAAGAAGATGTGGGTGCTTGTAAAAGGTCTCTTCTTGTATGCGGCGGTACAGTTATGCAACGTGTGTGTGTGTGTGAGAGTGTCAAGGGGCAAATTCTTGATACTTCAGCACTTCACCTTATTTTAGTAACAAACTGTGAGAGCCTCCTCCTTCGTAAAGACGAGTGGTGCATCATACTTTATTATTCAAGTTTCTGCAACTCCACCAACTTAGCACTGTACTTTCATAAAGAGAAAAGTCAAAATGAGAGCAGAGGAGGCTGAGATAACCCCACGTTTAGTCCTTATTATGGGTCATTTCCCATAATGGACTGCCACCTGCCCACGTTCTTTTAAACATTACATCTCCAGTTAAGAAGGCTATCTCTATTAAAACTTTAGCCTCGACCCCGATCCAGGATGATCTCAGCTGGGGTTTTTTCAAGAAAGGTCCCACTAGAGCCACAGATGAGTTTATAAAACTGTTACAAAATCAATGGAGTGAAAAGAAAACTGATGTAAGCATGATGAATAGGACTGGTGTTACAGAGGTGAGATGAAAATATGAAGCCTTTTCAGACATGGGATGCATGACATTCATCGACCCGTTGAAGAGATGGCATGCTGTCATTCACACATGGGTCACTTTTAAATTAACGTTCCTCACGGCTTCATTCGAACAGTGCCCACACAGTGCTGGAGATGCTACACAACATGAGGATGGACAGTCTATCAAGTGACATGCAATAAACAAAAGACACAATCTGAACTAATGGCAAGTTTATTAAACTGTCCAAATCGTATATTTCCTACTTTACCAACAGTAAAATGAAAATATCCTGACAGCTGCGATGGAGCTCAGGACCTGAAGATGGCAACAATAGAACGAATGATTTAACTGTAGATTATAAACCGTGTGCTACGCCTCACTGGTCTGAGTTTAAAAACAGTATGTGACTTGCTGCCAGAGCCTAAACGATCCTGTCTTCATGTTGGGAAAAAGTCACAATTATAAGTAATTCATGAAGCTAATGCATGATTGTTCTCTCTTTGGAGACGCTCATACAGGTCCTGATGCTGCATTTAATAAACTCAAACGAAAGACTCCTACAAACAGCTGGAAGCAACAAATTAAATATCAGCTCATTTTAACGTTTCGACAAAACCTGGATTCCTGTTATTATTGGTGAGTCTCATTAATTTGAGCTGTCTGTCTTTATTTATTTTACAGATGTAAATTGTAGCACAAAGTGAATGAGTTTGGTGTTTTTGATTTTGGCAGTGCCTTCCCCAAATCGCCTCACATAACTCGATGTACTGTTTCTTGTGCGTGCTTATCTGTTAGCGTAACAGCATGCAGTTGAAACTTGTGCTGTATGAAAAGCGATACTGAAATGTTACTTGGTATGACCTAGTAAGATGAGCAGATTAACAGAAAAGAATGCATGTCTGAAAGGGGCTTCAGTGTAATCTGACTTTAAATTAAAATACTTCATTGCTCATTACAGAGATCCACCAAACAGATTGCCAATAATTCCAGCCGTATAAGAAAAACCTGCAGCAATACAATCACAGAAAGCAGAGGACTGAATTCAGCCTTTCTCTTTGAGTTTATTAGTATTTTCTATATACTTAAACCTACACTGAATATCCATTTTCTGGACTCTTTTTATCCTATAGAGGGTCACAGAGAGGCTGAAGTCTATCCCAGCTGACAACCATGCAGGCTTACACCTACAGCTAATTTACAACCAACTAATCCTGCACATCGCTGGACTGTTGAAGAAGCACACAGAGAAACCCCACGAGGCAAAGGGAAACCATACAAGCCAAGCTGAAGACTTCAACCCAGGAGCAGTGAGTCAACAGTGCTAAACTCTCCCTAAACTGGACCAAAAAAGGTAAAACAAATCTTCCTTCACTCTGCTGCAGCCAGTGTAGACGCTCCACTGCTGTGATGTTTTCCAACGAGAGGATGTGCTACGTGTATGTTTTTGCTCTCAGGTGTGAATTTGTGCTGTGTTTATTGTGTTTGTTGTGAGGTAAACGACAAAACAGACAAAATTAATTGTAGGAAACGTCTTTAGTATGTTATCTTTGCTTGATGTGTTGTGCTACGTAGAGGTCACACAGGGGTTAAATGTCAGGACTTAAAGGGTGAGATACGCAGAAAGAGAAACATCCTGGAATGTGGGAAGAGCTACTCTAAAGCTCCCAGAGGTATTGGAGCGGTAAGTATTTGAACATATCTGTGTGTATAATGCAGTCAGTTCAAGCTGCAAAGCCCCCATAAACACAAATACACTTACAGTAATCTACATGAATGATGCTGTGTAGGACTGAACATAAACAGACACTTGTGAATGAATGAACGCGGGGAGAATGAAGCGCTACGCCCCGTCGCTCCCTGTCAGCTCCGTGGCAGAAGTCAAGGCGAGGAACTCACCCCACCCCAGTTGAGCGTCCTGGCGAGGTCATTTCCTGTTCCCAGAGGAAGCACAGCGACCGGAGGCTGTGGGTTCATCTGCAGCTCATCGAGAGCCGACAGGATCCACCCCACCTACAGAGACATACAGCACGAGCTCCAGAAATGTATAGAACAGCGTAGACATAAATAAGTAGAATACAGCTGAATGGAGTCTTACTGTGCCGTCTCCTCCACAGGCAAGGATCCTCAGATTTGGCACTTTGCGATACAACTCCAACCTGACAGTTCACAAAGCCAACAAAAGCAGGGAGAGGCGTAATTGTAGAATGAAAAAAAAAATCCTTCTTCAGCAGAAAGTGGTGCTGATTAGTGTTGAGTGGGTGCAATTGGTCCAAGTTTCATGAAAATTGCCCAGACCATGAGCAGTGCATCTCAATAAAAAAAGATAATGACTAAAGCTGCAGTGAGAAGACGTGGTGTTTTTCCCCCAGCAGTGGACCGTGACAAGAGATTTAAATAGATACTAACTGGGCTATAGTGATACAATTTTATTCTAAGAGTGTTTTTTATACAATCAGGAGTGAAGCAACCTGTCAAGCTGTAGACTTTAATAAAACACTTACGCCTCCCGCAGTCCACCCTGTGACAGGTCGAAGACTTGCCGAGGGTTCAAGATCCACATAAACATCTGTAACACCTTGGCACCCTACAGAAAGAGAGAAGTATGACACACAGGCTTGTCTAATAAAACAGAATTTAAAAATACAAATACAGACAAAAGTGTTTAAAAATACACTCTTGCAATCTTGTGCTGAGCAGACTAATAAGAAGAGGTTTGGTACAGTGATTTACAACTGAACTACAAGCAACAAACAGCAGTCTGAAACAGTCTCTAAAATGACAACACAGAGTGAACATAAATGTAAAAAAAACAGTCAAAGTTTCCTAACCTGGTTGCCCCCACTCTTGGGATTGACAAAAACCAAGATGGGCTTCATGAGGGGAGAGGGGAGGGGCTTCAACATGAACGGACGCCATTTCGACTCCTAAAGAGGAAAACAAAGATGTGCTAAATGTGAAAGAACACCTTCAGAATCACACAGATTTAATCATGTAATGCATAGTGGTGAAATCATGAGTTGAGATCTAAATGAGGGGTTGGATTTGAAGGAGAGCGTTCTCTGAGTTCTGATGTAATCATGTAATACAGACTACAAATACTTCTCTAGTTGGAATCTCTACATGTGACAGCTGTGATGCTTTTCTGGGGGTGTTTCACATCATTTTTTTTATATATTTGACACCTACAAATGTCTCTAAAATAATACATTCAGTAAATTCACTTAAAAAATGTGTTTGGTCAGTCGTGCTCAATCTAATGCCAGATTTATCTAGTAAGCCTCAGAACACCAAAATCTACAAAGAGGTATAAAGGACATGTTATTCTTTTAAATTGCCAAAATGAGGCCATTTACCAGAACCAGAAACTGTTAAAAAAAAAAAAAAAAAAAAACAGTCTGCTCATCTGTGACATGCCATTTGCTTTGGAAAACTTATCAAATTTAAGTTTAAAATTGTAAAATTTTCCTAAAAAAAAAACCAACTTCATTTTAAATTTCTCATTGTAAAATTCACTTAAAATAAACTGCTTGCTCTAATAAGATTCTGTAAAAAACAAAAAATTCTGCGGTCCCCAGTGGAACCAGGAAGCCATTAGTGATTCGGTTGCGTGCAACAGTGAAGTGGAAAAGTGTTGGTTCTTTTTCTCTGAACTGGGCAGAACTGCAGGCTGTGTTCACACAGAGCAGAAAGGAGACAAGTGTGGAAACAGATTTATGAAACTAAACTTTAATGATGTGAGTCACCATTTCTTTTCCAGTGTTGGTAATAACTGTAGGCACTAGAAGAATGTTGAACATGTTGACTCCAATTTTTTTTCCAATTTTTGTAAAATAGGTAATCAAAGAAATTGGAAATAATTCATTTTTTTTAATAAAATGTATGTCATGTAACTGTAATGCTTCACAAAAGACAGTTATGAGTTCCATCTATGTTTAGCCGTGGTTGTCCTGTTTCCATAGCAAAGACTTCAAACTGGAGTGAAAAATCAGCCCACGGTGAGGCAAACTGTGACAAAGAAAGCAATAAATGCTCAGAAACTGCTTGGGTTTCAGAGGGCTAATCAATACTTTATAACACCAAACACACATAGGTCTGACAATCTGAACAATGAGGAAACAAAACATCAAAGGGGGAGGCAAGTGTTCACCTGGTTTGCCTTTTCTGAGAGATTGCAGATTTATTTATCCAAGTTCTCATGTAATAATGTATCATCGAATACTGAGCTCTCATAGTCACGGATACATTAAGATTAGGATTCAACTTCATTGTTGAACAACCCGGGTTATTAGGAAGCTGTGGTGAGAGCACAGGGTCAGCCACACCACAGGGCCTCTGGACACTGCAGGGTTAAAGGCCCACATTGGCGATGCTGGGCTTGAATCACTGACCTTCAGATCATTTGCCCAAAGCCTTAACCACCACAAAACGCTACTGGAGATGCCGGGGATTGAACCCGGGGCCTCATACATGCAAAGCATGCGCTCTACCACTGAGCTACATCCCCTTCTATTGACAGGTATGACCATATCTGCTGTAATGTTCGGTTGATTAGCAGTAAACTGATTGACGATAGATAATGTGACTATTGTGATATTCCACTGAGCAGAATTTTTGTTTGATAGATGACTTAAAAAGATTTTCTTTTACTCTGGACATGTTCCCCTTATATCTTGTATAACATCATTTTTTATTTTTTGAATAACAACATTGCACTTATCAGAATCATAAGGCATATGTCAATGGAACAATTTTGATCAAATTGTTAGAACAGTAAAATACAGTACATATACAGTACTGACCTTACATGTATATGCTAGTCTGATTTTAAAAATGTCAATATTAGCTCCTCCAACGTTACATTTAAACAAACATCAGTCAGGTTCATTGACCGTTTGTGGCTCACGACCCTCACGTGGCATGCCGCATGTTTATGATTTCATTTTTGAATCTGTATTAATAACTCAAACGTACACGCATTTTTCACTTGTGTGGAGCACATGGCGGTTCAGTGAAAACATTTTTAGATCAGATGAAAGGTAAACAGGAGTTTAAAAATGATTACAGCACCATCTGCCATGATATCACTTACATCCAGTCCCTTTTTGCTTGTTCTCCGTTTAAAAGAAGTCCTCTTTTTTCTCCTGGCAGAGTTCTTAAGTGAGCTCTAGGGTACACAAACACACAGAGTTCAGTGGTTACTTCACTGTCACAATGTCCCCCGTGATGGTAATTAAAAGTGCAATGAAGCATGTGATGTGACTGAGGGATATATGTGTATGTGTGTGTGTGTGTGTGTGTGTATGTGTGTGTGTATGATAGCGGAGACACAAACCCAGAGTTCTCTCAGTCAGATCAGACATGTGTCAGTTCACATCACATCATATCCAAACTCACACACACATTAACACACACAGATTGTGACACGTCTTCTTTTAGGGTTTTAAATTTAGATCCAACAAAGTCATTTCTCATTAGTGTCATAAAATGACAGCTGCTGAACTTTATCAACCAGTGGGCTGACTGGTGAGGGAGCTCTGAAATGGGAATGTGTTGTGTGCGTGTGAGTGTACACCTGTGGTTTCCTGACTTTGATGATCCAGGAGGGTGGTACTATGACTCCAGCGTGGGCCCCCAGAGAGCACGGCTCCTCTATCTGGTGCAGCATGAAACACGTCACCTTGTTGTGGAACTGCAAGGAAAACACTCACAATTTATCCTCTTTATTAACCATTTAGTTTACAGCAGAGTCACAGTTGTATTAAAGTTATTTAAATATTAACTCTTCCATCTGTGGTTCATTTATGGTCTCACACAAGTGATTAAAAGGCAGATACATACAGACTACTATTTTTCTTTATGAACACAGTAGGAATTAGTACAAAACAGAAATGGGACTAGAACAAACAGAAGCTATGATCTGAATTTGGTGCAGATTTTTGGTTGATTATTGCAGTGGGAGGATGAACAATTGAGATTTTTATTGTATCGGCGTCTGTTCCTGTATGGACAGTTAGGTGTGACCGCAGGAACATGAGATAGGCAGAATAAATAGGTACAAATAATAAATGATAAAAGACAATGATATATGTGCAGTTCTGTAGGCGTTTGGGTATGTACGCAGATACAGGAGGAAAGCAGGACAGCCTTAGGACGAAGAGGCTCTGGAGCCAGGGCAGGTCAGGACAGTTGGATCTTCAATGAACTCTCTTGGTTTTATTTATTTGATTTGATTTTGTTTGTTTGCTTTCTCCCCTCTCTCGAGCTATATTTACTCTCTCCTGCTTGAGGCCTGCCCCGGGCCTGTAGGAGGTTGCTGACCTGGTAAAGGTCAGATTGCCTCTACAACAGCCTCCAGCTCTACAGGAGGTATGAGGAACTTCTATCATGCTGTCCCATACTGGTTTATTAGCCCCCTCAGTTCACAGGGCCTCGTCACAGATGCAGTACCATTCTTAGGAAGGTTTTGTGGTATCTGCTGCTAGGTACACTTGATAATCCACAAATCTTGTTGCCAGCTTTCACAGGAAATGTTTCTTCAGAGAAAAGTAGTACCTCTGAAAATGTCCAGAGTGAAGTTGGTGGATTATGTATGTAATTATCACTGCCAAGGAAACTGCAGTCTGTCTATTCATTAGTTTAGTTTTAATCAATAGGATTAAGTGAAAACTATCAGGCCAATTTTAACAGAAGCTGATGGACAAAGGAGAAACCCTGATTGTTTTGGAAAAATATGAGAGCATTTCCCGATCTTCAGGACGGGTTTGGTTGTGGCTTTGCCTATCATAGAGGACTACTGGTCTTGGCTTGGCAGGGGTCTGAGTTCTCTGAGTGCCCTTCTTGTTAATCTACATTTTTTAACAAAGCAAATGAGATGTGCATGAAAACACATCATGATTATATACCATGAAACATAAGAAAGACTTGCAACTCACAACTGGGACCATAAATGCATCAGGAAAATGTTTACTGAGATAACAAACCAAGTAAGAAGCATTACTGACTTCTATACAATCACACTTCTTTTTGCAACTCAAAGAGTCGCCCCCTGCTGGCTGCTGCAGCTTTAAGGCCCTTCTGCGTTGACTTTATGTATCAGACCCAGAGGCTACATTCATCTTTTATATACAGGCTATGATATTTCCACAAACAACTGAGTACTAAATTAAGATGCATTATTAATGGCACATTGCTTTAATGCCATTGTGGGTTCTCTGGCTCCAGCCTTGAGACAGATTATTGATTATTTATGTACCCAAGGTTTGCTTCATTTTATGCCCACATTACAGAATTAACTTCAGCGACATGGCAGGAAATGAAGGGAAAGAGGGCGAGAGAAACATGCAGCAAATCAGTGCTGCTAGCCTCTTTATCAGTGGGAAGGATGTGAGCTTCTTGTTAATGTGGAAATAACAATAAATATATTTATTAAAATGGATCGAAGTACAGAGACTTCCTGAAACACTGTCCATTTAAAGTACAGGACTCTGGGCTTATGTTAATGAAAATAAACTGTATTTCATTAGTAAACACTGTGTTAGACTCGTAGTATTTACTTTAAAAAATAAAAAAAACAACAGTGCTTGGGTCCACTTTGTTTCCCGCTACAGTGATTACCACAGACACATTACTTACAGCCTGTTTACACCAAGAACAGCTGATGGCGATGATTTCTTTACTGTGAAAGAACTTCTGCTGAAAACTCTGCAAAGACAGAGAGCAGGACACTGAAGTAGTTTGTATGAACAGCAGTAACATTTCCATGTGTGTGAGTGTGTGTGTGTGTGTGTGTGTGTGTGTGTGTGTGTGTGCATGCGTGTGTGTGTGTGTGTACACTCACCTTTCCACACTGCCTACATTTCCCTTCCTGTCTTCGTCTGTGAACCCAGTGATGCCTCAGTATGTTCTGCCATCATAGAGAGAGAGAAAAGTTTATTCTCTTACATACATTGGAAGAAATAATGCGGTAAGATTCTTCCTCTTGTATATAGTCGCACGCATATTTACAAACCTCAGACACACAAACACACTTACATCTCTGAGGCATCTGGATCCTCCCTCTCTGAAGGTTGGCTTACATCGGAAGTTAATCTGGAGAGAAACAGAGAAATAAAGATGAAAACAAGTGAAAACACAGCGAACAACAAATACTAGCACACAATTTTACATATATTAAATTTCATTCCAGAATTTTTTAAATACCAGGATGGCATATAAACCATATGCATACATTAGAGCTGAAATACACAAATACGTCTCCAACACTAAGGCAATGATTAAAAAAAAACAAAAAACACTGTATTCGGAGTACAAAATGTCCTGCAAATTATTTTTTTGTGGATTGTTGATTTAAAAAAAAAAAAATGCTCTTTTGGTTGCTGTGGTCAAATTTAATCAGCATTGTATGTCTGCATATAATACTGAATACATCTCAATTGGTACGAGAGATTGTACAAAACTAGACGCAACCTTTAAAGATCTTAGAAAAATAGCAAAGCTTCTTGTGTGAGTGATTCAGCAGAATCCAACAGAAATAACGTCGTAGAAAACTCAATTTTCAGAAAAAACTGTCTGACCTGAAAAATGAACGTGTGTGTGTGTGTGTGTGTGTGTGTGTGTGTGTGTGCGATACCTTTTCTAGTTGCTCTATGCAGCCAGTGTGAACGACGATCTTGCAGGCTGCACATTTCCTCCTGGGGGCCGACTTCTTAAAGAAGATACAGAGCACAGAGGGCAGCGTAAGACACACAATCCAACCAAGAAGACACACAACAAACACAAGCGGTGCAAAGATACACACTGACGATACACACACCCTGATAAAAGCATACAGACACACAAATGCATACTCAGATGTGCTGAACATTTCACTTTTTCTTCTCCTTCAGTTTAAAAAGCTTCAGAGGCCTTTTTATCAACAGCACTAATGACACTTCAGGAATAAAAAAGGGACACCTTGACATTTCTCATCTTTAGTCATCATGACACAAAATGGATAACGATGAATTGTGTTGCATCAGATTAACGTTGTTGGTGTTTCTGAAAGCAGCACGCCAACCTGCTGCAACTTCAAACCGCACTCAAGTCGACACAAACTTTTCTGTGACTGCTAACAGCAACTGCAAGATTGGAAAGCATGTACCAAATATAACTAATTTATTTTTAAGTTAATGGACTTAAAATATTAACCAACAGGAGTTTATGTATATTTCATCAACTGTCAGGCTGTATTTAGGTAAAGTTGTGCCTTCAGCCGAATATTAACACATATGCAGAGCAGGTAAACTGTTTACATTTTCGAATTAGCAGCAAACACAAGGTGTAGGTTGATGTGGGTATCATTTGTTTGGGCAAATTCTGACTTGATGATGAAGCTCGATGAAAAGCCAAAGGTCCACCAGAAATGTAACAATTCATCCTGAGTGAGAGTATGTGGGAGTGGCGGTATCTGCACCAAATTTCCACCCAATGAATGCTGAGAAACATAACTCAGAACCATAACTCCAAACCTAAATAAAACTAGGGGCATCACCACAATCAGTAGGATGCATTATCTGTGACCACGCTTTTGTAGCAATCCATTCAATTTTTTGACATTTAAGCATGCAAACATATTCTAGTAGACCTCAAAAATAAAATACAAGCCTGACAATGTGCATAATGTGTACTCTTTAAGATTCAGACCTGCTGCTGCCACCTTCTTGATAGTACCCATACTCTGAGTGCTATCAATATTTGTAGCAATATGATTGGCAATCCACCATTTGGTTGCTAAGATATTTCAGAAAGGACCACAGGAATGACCAACATCATCATCCCTGTAGTCATGGTACTAATCTGACTAAAAGAAAATAAGCCATCTCTACCACTGAAAACTACAAATGAGAGGTGTAAGAAAAAGTTGATTTGAGGGCTCAGTGATAGCCTCCGTCATTTGTCACACAGCGTGACTGTTAAAGAAAAAACACTCAAGATGCCAAAGTGCTGTTTGTCTTGGATAAATAGTATTGCTCTCCTGCCCTTGCTCATACAACAGACAAACTACTCATTATGAGTAATATTTTTGACAGCTGATAATGGACTGGTCCCACCTCAAGTCAATGGGTTCACTGCCTCGGTGAGCAACACTTAATAGTTCAGGGCTGCTCTCACATAAAAAGCAGCCGCTCACTCTCATATCTCACTGGTTAACAGTTGTGAATGTTCTCTCGCTGTTTAAGCCCCGCCACAAAACCCCTTTTAACAAGACAAATGCAAGGAGGCAAAATGTTCTTCTTCAAGATGCTTGGACCGATAGAGTGTTCAGGACTTAGAGGTTTTGTAAACTGAACAGCATCAACAGAGAAACTTGTTCATCACACATGAGCTTTTTGTAGCGATGGTGACATTTGCAAGCTCTGTGAAACCAGGGCTCCAGACTGAAACTAAAATGGTCGCATTTGCAAGCTTTTATTGAGAGAGTGCAAGCTAAAATTTCAACTGGTCGCACTGGTGTACCTAAAGGATGACAATAAAGCTGTATTAGTGTAACTGGCACAGGCAGCTGCTGTGTGGACCACAGTGGTGGAACATAGAACTTTTATAACATCATGTACTGTTGTATTTACACCTAAAAATGAGGTCTTCTTGTGAAAAACGGAGCACACCTACGTACGCTGCTTGTAGAAAAAAATCAGTCATCCTCTTGGACAAATCTGACATTAGAACGAACTAGTTTATTTTTTCTAAAGTCATCTTTGGTCGAACACCTGTTTGAGCAACACCACAGATACCAACAGCAGCTACCGCAGCCTGCAGCGTGGGGCGTTCAGGGAACATTGGTAAACTGTGGTGTATATCAATAAGAAAATGTTCAGCAAGTCACATGTTTTGCCTGTGACGAGGTGGGAGGTCCTATCAAATGAGAGCTCTGGAAATCCACCCGATCTTTGTAATCTTGGGTATTGAGGGTTTATGTGAGTGTCTAGTAAAGTTTAGACATTAAGAAATAAATGTCAGCTAGTCTTTAAAGGTCACAATGTCTTCAGAAAGGGAAGGAAAATATGACACAAGTCCATGTTACAGTTTTCATAATTATGTAAGAACCTGTGGTTTGGTTGTTTGGTTGTAGTTTGTTCAGACCACAGCAGCAAGACTCCTCACAAACACTGGACAAAGGGAACACATTACCCCGGTCCTGGCTGAACTACTCTGGCTCCCCATTTGTTAATAAACTCAATTTAAGATTCAATTGATTACTTCTAAATGTCTACACTGCCTGGCTCCACTCTGCATCTCAAAACTATTAACTCCTTATTCTGCACCTCGACCCTTCAGATGAGAACATCGGCTGCTTCTACAAGTTCCACCGTCCAGGCTTGAAAAAAGGGGAACCATGCACTTACTCAAGTAGCTCCAACACAAAGGAACAAGCTCCCCAGTGTCCCCAGTGTCTTTTAATGTTTCATTGTGGCTTTTTCTTGCAAAGCACCTTGTAACTCCAGTTTTGAGAAGTGCTAAAGTCACACGGTTTGTGATTGTTACATAAGCAAACACACGCCACATGTCGCAACTGAGAGGATTTAAAGTTCAGAAGAAATTTAATAAATAGTGTTAACTAAAATGCAGCTCATAAATCAAAACGAAAATCGATTCAAAATGACATTGTAGTCTTTAAAGATGATTTAGAACACAGCGGGCCTTTACTGGGTCACACACAAACACTGATAAATGTAGGGGTTAAGTAAATATAATATAACATTTAGAGAATGACTGAAAGGAATGTGGCTTTGTAAGTGAACATTTGTTCCATTTCCGTAGTAGTAAATAGTAAAGGTGTCTGTCCCCTGTTTATAAATGTTACTGCAGTTGATTTTCTGTTTTATCCTTTGTCATAGGAACGGGTTGGACATACATTTTATAGTACTGATGATACGATAATAAACAATGTGATCAATCTGATGAACGAGAAGGTGTTTACTGAAGTCATGCTTGCTCTTAAAAAGCAGTGCAGACAACTGAGGGGGAATAAAAGCAAGGCAGTTCTGTTTTAAGTGAAAAAATGTCATTAATTTATTCTTGGAGCAGCGTATCGGCAAACAAACAGACCAACTTGTACCGACTCTAAGTCTTCTTCAGGGTCGGGCTTGTTTTTTTATTGACTCAGAATCGTTGTTTTCATTTTGCTTTGATTTAACCCACTGAGATGCTGTTTTGTCCAAGTTAACGAGTGATGAAAGAACAGAGAAACTGTCGGACTGATGAACGAGCTGCACTGCATTTCTCCCTGCGTCAGAGTTCTACCAAGGCTGCTGCACTGGGAGCTTTTTTCATGATAACTAGAACTCTAGAACACAAGCGGACAAGCAAACAAGGCAACGAAAACTAACCTACTGATGCCGTTGGTCAGTAGTAGCTTTGGGGATTAATAAACTGAGGTAAGACACAACATGTTCTACAGCAGTCATCTTATATTAATTTGAGTGCAAAGCCTCAGTTGCATCTTTCAGGCAACCACATTGTTTCATAGGGGTTAGTTTCACACGGTCCAATATGTTCAATTTACAATACTTACATTCTTTAGTATCTAAAATCTAATTTTTAAGGTACTGTATGCACTATAGTCTCCCACAGCCAGACCTGTGTCCACAGTGGTGCAGAATGGTCTGACTATTATCATTCTACTATCAGGGAACACCTCTCTGGCCTGTTTGTATTTCTTTACATCAATCACAATCATCTTGGGCAGTGCAAAATCCAGAATGCAGCGACTGTGTACTCCTGTAAAATAGTGGCGGAGTGCATGTGAGGAGGCGAGTGCTGTAATTAAAATGGATAATTCGCTGCAAAACAAAGCACCACCAAAAAAAAAAAAAAACTATGAAACTGACCGTGATTCGACTTCTATGATGAAAAGAAAATGAGAAAGAAGATTTCATTTTCGGTATCCTATAGGGGAAGTCTGTGGAAACTTCAGCTTCTGTATATGTAAAGAAGTGTGTACAAAATGAAACAGATTGGTACACTGGTTGAGTCGATGTTGCAGAAAACTATGGCCATGAGGAAACGAATCAACGTCGGTCATCAGAGTCCAACGAGAATCTGGAGTTTCCGAGGTGCGTTCACGAGTTGCTTGTGATCATGTAGCTGTAGTTTAATTAGATTCAAAGCACACATAAGATGAAGAAGAACAGATGTGGCATGTAGGTCGCTGCTTGGAGGTTGTTGTTGTTTCCTGTAGCAAAAGTGGATTTTGAAAATGGTAGCGCACAGATTGGGTAAAGACGGAGGAATGCAGCGTGAAATGCACAGCCACCGACAGGCTTAGAAATGCAGTCTACATGTGGTGAATCAGACTAAATCAGCCATATCTCACTGAGCACAGGTATGTGTTTATTTATGTCAACCATGATTTCTCAAAACGCTCTCAGATTCCACTGAGGTCAGCCTATCCTTCTGGACATAGAAAATCTATCTCATTAAATTCATCAAAGTGAGATTACAGTGGGTTTATTTATTTTTTTGCTGCAGGTCAGTCTTTCTGACATCTTTTGGCCTCACCATGTTCTCAAACTCTGTAATTTTCCTGCCATCAGTGGAAACATACGGATATGTCATTATATTATTGTCAGAATTAAAGGTTGTTTCTCAGCACTCCATTACAGGTTGTTTCGTCCTTGTTAGAGGTGTGCAGAGCGACAGAAGGTCCACAATACCTATAATTTAAACACTTTCTACACAGACCTGCTCGTGGTTAATGACACTCAAGAAGGCTCTTTCTCTGATTTCTAAGTAATATCTTCGCTGCTTTGTTGACACGGATTGCATGAGTGAGCGTGGGGCATCCTGTTTAAAAAATACACTCCAATTCCAGTGAAACCACGTGCTCTGCCGTTGAAGCGAATAAGAGCGACGAGGAACCATAACTTGACTGGAGATGAGTACAAATTAGTCCACATGAGGCAATAAAATCACAGCCAGAAGGCTTTTAGAAAGAGCTTAGTGGGTTCTCTTTCTCAAAACTCTTTCTGTGTAAAAATGTAACTTTACCGCATCTGGCTTGTCTCTAGCTGTCTGCCCAGTGTTTAGACGAGCCCCACCTGGCAGATCACGGATCAGAATCTGATATTGAATCAACAGGAAGTCATCGATTCTTTTCACTTTAATGGGGGATGAATGTAATGTCCGCTTTGAAAACGACAAACTTATTTATTGATTTGTTTAACTACTCTGCAGATGCATTTCTTTTTAAATTAAAGTATAAGTTATCAGTATGTAAGGCCACCATCTCGTCATCACAGCCTTTAATCATGGGGTAGTTCATGAAATCCATGTGAGGGACTGCTGAGAGAACTGCTTCTATTTTTAATTTTGCAAATATAACAAGACATAATGTAGCCTTTCTCCTTCTGTCAACACACAATCAAATGGTGGACAAAAAAAGACAAAGGGAGACCATATATTCAGTATTTAGCTCAAATGACTTCACTCCACAATGATACCGTCAATGATGCAAACTGTTCAAGAGACTGAAAAGACTGGAAATCCCTCAATTAGAGTAACACTATTTGTATTAATAAGTTAATCAACTGATTCTAAACATTCCAATCATGTGCATACTTATTATTGCCAATCACAGACAACTTATTACATCAGGAATACACATTTAGAAACATGCACATAAATCAATTTACAGACTAGATTTCTGCCATTTTCTACCGTCTCAAATCGACATACAGTCCAATCAGATATTCAGTTTGTTTCACCACATCATGTAGCATTTGTACCTGAGTGAAGCCCATGAGGGGTTGATTAATTATCTGTCTTGTGAATCATCAGATCCAATATCTAACATTTTTCCAATTATTGGTATTGTGTTAAATGATTCTCAAGAAAAGAAATGAATCTAAAAATGGGATACTTGAGGGCTGCAAGGTGGCTCGGTGGTTAGCACCGTCATCTCGCAGCTAGAAGGTCACCAGTTCGCATTCCAGTGAGGACACCCGCAGTGGAGTTTGCATGTTCTCCCCGTGCAGCGTGGGTTCTCTCCACGTTCTCCGGCTTCCTCCCACACAGTCCAAAAACATGTTGAGGTTAATTGGTGATTCTAAATTGTCCGTAGGTGTGAATGTGAGTGTGCTTGGTTGTCTGTCTCTAAGTGTAGCCCTGTGATAGACTGGTGACCTGTCCAGGGTGTCCCCTGCCTTCACCCTGAGTCAGCTGGGATAGACTCCAGCCCCCCATGACCCTAGTGAGGATTAAGTGTTGTATAGATAATGGATGGATGGATGGGATACTTGGGCTCTGAATCAGTCACGTTTCTCTACCTGTAGGAATCCTGAGAAATGTCCCACCCCAAGCTCAATGGTAACATGTCACCTGTAATAGTCTATAAATACTGATGGACAAATGTTGAAAAGATGTATTTTATATAAACAGATGTAAAACATACATAAGAAAATACATGTCTATTAAGTTTCATGTTGTGTTTGTGTTACTTTTTTTTTTAATGAAAATGTACATATATCTATATATATGTACATACATATATCTCCTTGATTACTAATCATATGTATTCATATCTGCCCTAAAAAAATACACTGTTCAACCCCTAAAGCCTGTTCTATAGGCTTATGGCTTCTTGACCTCCCACGTCATGTGCAGGTTTTCTGAATGCAAAATAATACAGATAAATAATACATACTGTATATAGGCATTAGTTGTCAGTTTGGAGGGATTCAAAGGTCACAAAGGCCACTCAAGAGCCTTTACAAGACTTCAGGGCTTTTTTTTTTTAACTATACTTACAAGATAGTTAGAAAAATGCCAGGAGAAAGCACTCTCTCAGCAACTCCATCACACACACACACACACACACACACACACACACACAGTCACACTGTACACTACTCACTGCAGTCTTGAGTAGGCAGGTGTCCTCTCCCAGATAACAGAGCTCTCCGGAACAACTCGTCTCCATCCACAGGTGATCCCCATTCACTGCGTTCTCCTGCATAAGAGAGAAAGAAATAACTGTAAGTCGCATAAATGACTCGCGCCATCCTTGCTCACGTCTCAGTCTTTAGTGCGGCTGATTATTTTCAGTCACAATAAACTGCGACCATATGCGCGCAGACACTCAGGAGCGAGCGCGGTCAACAAGTGTGTCAAGCACATAATTGCCGCTGCTGAGGAGGTGGGTAATTTCACAGTGCATGTTAATGTAAGGTGCTACCAAAACACTGGCGGAGCTGCAGATTCATGAGTAAACACACACCTGCATCACACACATCTACATGCACACCAACACTAATAAGTGTATAATACTTCATGAGTAGTGTATATGTTAGCAAAAGGATGCTTCTGTAAGTTATCAGTATTATTATACATAGTAGGTAGTAATAGATATTGAATGTTAGCACAGTTGATTTATTGGTGAATAATTTAATCTTTAAATATAGTTTTCCCACGAGAAGAAAAACTGCATGTAAAGGAATCAGTAGGTTAATAAAAGCTGAATAATGATGTTCATCTAACAAACTGGTCAGGGACTGAAGAAAGGGACAGATCCTCTGAGATTAGTGGTTATTTAAAATCAGTTTAATTGAAGTTTTACAAGAAGGATTAGTGCAGAAACAGTATCTGAATAAGGCAGATGTGTGTAATAGGTAAACAATCAGTCAAGCATGAGCAGTGGTGGAGGACAGGGTCAGGTTGTTTACCCCAATAAAAGTACCACAATCACTGTGTAACGAGAAACACACTCTGTTACAATTAAATGTCATTCCCTAAAAATGTAACTTAAGTAAAATTACCCAGGTACTTCTGTTGAAAATGACTCTTTTGAGTGTCGTTCTGTTATATAGCACAGTATTGACTTTTTAAATTGTTTAGATTTTATAAAGTTATTGAGCGTTAAATTGAATGCATCAGTTTTGGACAAATTTGGTGTTTATGATATTAATCATTCGTGAACTCTGGACTGATTGAACAACAATCATTCTTCCCTAAAAGTAAAAAAAACAGGTGATCAGTATGCGTTGGTCAACACTAATATTGTTGTGGGCAAATAAATCCATGTAACACTGACCTGACACCGTAGCGCCAAACACCAAATATATCAGCAACTGTTGGACCGACAGTGGCCGGTTAGAAAATCATTTACATATCGACAAACTCTAGGATATACTTCGGTAGTTTAATCAATCGCAGTGACTATTTGATGCTCATGTTCTAACACACTACAGTTCTTTCTCCATTTCTTACTTTGCTGCACTCTTTTCCGCAGTAATCGGTGTGTATGTCTTTGTTACGTAGCTGTTATTACACACATGACTTATTGGCATCTAAAAGGAGGTCACATCATCCCATGACCACATATTAATGAGTGATTAAGTGCAATAATTATATAGGTGTGTGTGCACGGTGTAAAAAGATAAAGGGCAGTGATGACGTGGTGGAAGTGTCCCTGCAGATGGAACCCAGGGGAAATCTCAGATGTAGGCCCACGACTGTTAGTCTACGTTCCTGTTAATAATTCAGCACATTTTATTTACTATGCAGTATTGATGCATGATTCACTCGGTGGCTAATTATTGTAACAGATTATTACCAAAGTGTTTAACATCTTTATTACACAAGATGCAGTTTTCACACCATTTTTTATTCATCTTTTCAGTGAATTTGAAGCAGTTTTCATGTTACTTTGGGGGTTTTTTTAACCTTGTGCACCTCAAATTGCTTCAACTTTAACAATATTAAAGCAAGAATCTCCCTCCCTCACAATCGTTCAGAAGTGTGTCTTTCTTACCGGGTGAGTTGGCAGCAGTTTAACTCTACACACCATGTTTCAAACTGAGATTATCATCATTACAGAAATCTGGGATCATTAAGCTGATTTCAGGAAAAATTGTGATGCCGTTTACAAATGTTTTGAAGTATTTTAAATGTCATTTCGCAAACTCATTTAAAATGAATCGTAGATCATGATTAGGTTGCTGTCTGCAATCAGATAATCTTATTAGATGAAAAGAGATAGCAGGTTAGATGTGCTTTATATGATCTAAACTGGTGGAGCTGATAAACATCCTGCCTGGCGGGACACCTCTGGGCCACAGCTTTTAGATTATTCGTCCATTATGAAGAAAATGTCGCCGATTACAGAAAATGCCCTCTCCCTTGATTTGACAAAATGTGGGCATTTTACAAAATTGCACTCATTTTTGTTACGACCTGCCTTTAGAAGATCCCAAATGGCTTCAAATGAAATAGGAAAACATCTTCCATGAAGGTGAAATAGCTTTGCAAATGGCACATTTTTATTCATATGGATTTCAGTTGGAAATAAAAATGCCAACCAGAATTTCTGTTGCACTCTTTGACCAGTGCTGTCTAATTTGCAGAGTTGTTTCATCTTGACATTTCCCTAAGCTCTGGGGCTACATTTTAAAGCGCTCGAAAATGGCTATTCAGTTTATGATTCATGTTTCGTAAGTAAAATCCATTAAATTCTGCAGAATAAATCCTGAGAAAGTCACGTCTCACGAAGTCGTGACGAGTAAAACTTTCCTCCCCACAGTTTGTTACCGAGGCGTTTTCTACTAATGACCACAAAGAAACTGCTGCCTTTCATTTCCACACAAACATACGCCGGCTGAAACCAGTCTGTTCATAAATCTGCTGGCATGAAAATCCAAATGTCATTGAGTGACTCAGCCAAACAGAAACAAATGTCTTTTTGTACACTATCTGAAAAAAGGAATTAATGTATCCATGTGTATGTATTTTGTTCATATGACAAAAAAAAAAAAACTAAACCTGATCACGATTCAGGCTTAGTTATATCATATGAGTGTATGAACTTGTCTGACCGTCCAGTCCACGCAGGTACGTAGCTCCTTGTTGGGTCCGTTGGATGCTGGAGGAAGTGATGGTTGGGGTGGACCGAGGTAATGGACGCCTGAGCGGGAGATCGCCTTCCTAAAAACAACAGGAAAACAACAAGAAGCATTTAGAAACACTGCTATCATTAAAAGAAGTACAAGTGTACACAGGAACTTAAATCAGCCCTGTCATGCTTAGCTGTGACACAGCCCTCTCACCACAGAGCAGCTGAATCACTAAGCGAACTAGATCGGAGTATAATTTAGTATGTAAATTAATTATTCATATTATGAGACCACATTTCAGCACGCTCAGCTGGAGATATTTGGTTGAGGAGAGCTGGGAACAGCTTGGAGGAGACACTGCCAGCAGCACTTTGGGGTGACGAGCTGGAGTCGGAGACAGATCTGTTCTGTCAGAGGATGAGTCAGCAGTCATCTCTCTCTCCATGTCTTGGACTCTCGCCCTATTAGACTTCCTGTTCCCATTTTCTTGAAATTTTCTTGACTATATGTTCATCGGTTTCTCTACATGTCAGTTTTCTCTCAGTCTTTCTAACCGGTGCCTCGTCGGTCTTCAGTAAACACACAGCAGTCTGCACCGCCCCCCACGCTGCACCCACCTGAAAGAGCCGACACAGGTGGGTGCAGAGCCGTCACATCGTCATCACGCTCTTTTATTAACTGCTGATCCAGCATCTACATGTTCGAGCTCTTAATAGAAATCATGAGGCACTCCAAAACATTTTACTTTGCTGAAGTTGGAACAGCTCTGGTCTCACAATTTTTTAGTTTTTTTAATTTTATTTTTACACCGTTTCAACCACCTGAACTCTGTTGAGTTTGAAAAGCATGAAAAGCGAGAACCTATAAAAACGGAAGAATCATACAACTTTTCAGTGGTCCTTGAACTGATCATGTGTGATGTGCTGCTCTGTTGGGAAATGATCAAAATCTAAGCTTAAAATCATGATGTTAAAAATCACTTTATGATGTGTCTCATTTACAAATAAACCAAAAATCAGCGTCTGCAGGCTGCGTGTGAACAGAGCAGAGAGGAGACGAGCATGGAAATACATTAAAAATGTAAGCAGTCACATATCTAAGGTATAGCGTTGCACATGTTGACTCCAGATACTTTACATTTTTGTAACATAAATAATTAAAGAAATTGAACCTATGTATCTTTTATGATGTATAGCACTATACCTGGGTCACACTGTACAAACAACAGTTTTGCTTTATTCTACATCTAACCATGGTCGAGCTGTGTCCATAGACGTGCAGGTCTTCTTTATATTGCAGTGAAAAATGAGCCCACAGACAGTACAATGCCACTGGGGCAAACAAACCTGCAGAAATGCCCTGAGTTCAAAGGTTTAGGTGACCTCCCATACTGCATGCATTCTATGTGCATGGCTGTGACCTCAAGTGCATTTTGAGGTTTCAGTGTTATTTTGCTCCATTTTACACCCATTGCACCACAATAACAATGGGTTTCACTGCCATGTAGCATCCTTAATGATTACATATATCACCAACTTGGACTAAATTCCAATGATATCCTGTAACTATTATCGTTATTGTGGATTGAAACTAATTCATTGGCCAGATTGAAATTTTAAACTTCACTTTGAAAGAAAACCAGACTATCTGCACTTTAAGAAAAGGGTTACATATATTTGTCTTATGTAAGATATGTGCGTACAATACAGCAAACAACAATACACCCATAACACAAACTTTTAGACATCAGGATAACAAAAAAATTCCTGAACCGAAGCACGATGTGTTTTTAGAGTTAACTGGTAATTATGGAAATGAACACAGGTGTGTGTGTGTGTGTGTGTGTGTGTGAGTGTGTGTGAGAGTGTGTGTCTGTCTGTCTGTCTGTCAGTGGAAAAGGTTGCACAGAGCATCTGACCCCACTGTTGAAAGTTTCAGTGGCCGTCTGTCTAAAATTATCAACCAGGACAAAGAGGAGTCCACTTACACACCCTGTAACCTGACGACACACCCCGACACACAGGTTCACACACACATGCATGCATGTGCGTGTTCTCACGACGCCCGGGTTAAAAATAGGATTGCGTGGGTGACAGCACAAATACAAGGACGTATGGTGACTGGACATATGCCACATAGAACGAGGGACCACACACACACACACACACACACACACACACACAAACACACACTCATCTTATGTCACACATACAGTATATATTCCGATGAATGTTTACATGGTGGGAAGTTTACATCAATACAGGAGATATTTCTATTTTTCTTGTACAACACTGGTCAGATTGTTAAAGTTGTTCTCCGCATTCACGTCGTCGTGGTGATCTTTCGTTTGTGACCTTCACCTTTGAGCTCTGAGGACGCAGCGACAGCTAAAACCAAGTCCATTAGGGGAAGTAACACGAGCAGTCAGACGATCAGCCCGGCGCTGAGCGAAGCCACACTTTTATTGAAACCACTTATTTGGAAGTGAAACCACAGGCAGAAAGTGAACGTCTGAGCGTTTATCCAGTTAAACTATGTAAAGATGCTGCGGCTTTTGTCTGTTTGTGACTGGACAGAGCTTTATTTGAGAAAATGTGATGTTTGTTGAAGACTTATTTTGACAGAAAAAAAAAGTGAAAATAAAAAAATGTGCCTCCTCTGTGCTGATTCAGCTTGGACTTTTCTGTTCACCCTCACTTCAAATAAATATATTCTTGCTAAAATAAACATTCTTACTGTACCTACAGATGAGTAATGAATGATGAAAATCAGATCCTTGTTGTCACAGCGACACTTCACAACATTTAACAGACACACACTCAGACACACTTAACCCTGCTGCTTATTCGTGGCTGTTGAGCGGCCCGATTATTATAAACTGATTACGGGTCATCGGGTATGAATGAACAGGCTGCGTGCGTGCTGTGTTGGTGTGAATGCATTTCTTATTCATAATGAAATGACCCTCGTATGAAAGTGTGTACCTTTTTTTTTGTTGTTGCTAACAGGCAGAGAGAGAAAGTCAGAGCCTCTAAAAATAGACCCAGCAGCATCGATGTACTTGATGTACTCATCACAAGAGGAGATAAACGGGAATACACACTTAAATATGAAAACGCACACACATACACTCTCATTCTGAGGCCACGGGGCACCATTACATTTGAGTCCTAATCTACTAAAAGCCAACAGGATCACAGGCATTAAGGATCGCTCCTAAAATATAAACAAAAAAACGTGCAGCTTTTCTGTGGTCTGTCCTCAGCGAACATGGCAGCAAAAAACACCAGCACCACGCCCGACTTTGAGTTATTTTAAGTAGACTGGTCCAGAAAAGGGTGGTAATAGTGCATCAGGCTAAAAATAGAGCTATCTCAAAAGCATTTAAATAAACAGGAATGACAGCCCAACAGGGAAAAACGAACTCATGAATAAACACAAAATCACACCACAATGATTCAGTGCTACGCTTTTACAAAACAATGCGTCACGGCAAAGAAAAGAAAAACTACTAGCAGATAAAACGTGGGCTGCTCATGATGTCTATATGCCAACTTTACATGTGCAGTCACAGAAATAGAGAGAGTCATCTAAGGTACGGCTGCAACTAATGGCTGCGTTCATTGTTAATTAATATGTCAAATAACTTCTTGCTAGAGAGTACAGAAATTAGGAAACATGCCAATCAGTGTTTCCCAAAGCCCAAGACGACTCCTCAAATGTGTGATATATAAATATTAGTATTGACGTCCTCCTCTGTTGTATGAACTCAAAAAGTTTTATTTCATAACCTTAAAAAACATAAAAAGGTAAATTGTTGATAGATTCCACCAAGTATGTGATTGAAGATCTGAAATGAAGCTAGAAGTCTAGACATCAATAGAAGACTACAAAGCACTACAAATGATAACAATAATGATGATGATGATAAATATGAGCTGAAAGCAACACAAAAATTGCATCAATTTGTCCTTGTATTGACATCAGGATCATTTTATCACAGTGATTTGAAATCTTTTTTGCAACAACGAGTGGATGAAATCAAAAATAAAGAAAGCGTTCTGCGAGAAGAGGGAAACGTACTCCTTAGCTGAATGAAACACACATTAACATATTATAACAAACAATCAACGATTAATTGAGAAATAATCACTGGCAGCACTTATACCTTACTAAGGAAGTTTATCGTACCTCTCCATTGACAGACATCAACACTGTTTGTAGTGAGCTAAGAATCTTTTTATGATTTAGGAATTGTCGCTCACTCTTCCTCACAAATCTTCACTTAAAAATCTGAAAGGTTGATAGTACAAACCAAGTAATTTGATTGGCCAAGAGGCTTTCCTCGAGTGCTGATCAAGAATATTACATCCCTCAGACACTAACCTGTAGATGTAGCACTCTGCTGTACAGGCGGTTTATTAACTGCTAATTACATAAAGGTCGTTCTTATCTTGCAACCTTTGAATGTAACAAATTTTGCATTGCAAATATAAATACATAAGGTTTTCTTAATAAAGTCCGTCATGATATCTAGTGCAGTCGAGATCTCAATCCTAAAATGTGACAAGAGTATGTTTAACGTATTTCATCATAACATTTAATGAAGAAACCAAATTTCAAAAAGACCCACTGGACAGAGACAAAACATTGCAGGGGTGCCATGTTGAGGAGCCAGGAAGCTCTCTGTGTGTGGTAGCATCTTTAAAAATAAATAAATAAATAAATCTGCCAAGTGCGACCCAGGAGGCTAACATCTGCGACGGACCTCTTCTGGTAGACCGACATTCCTCTGGGAGTAAACCAGCTGTCACAGATGTTGGGGGTTAAGGATGCAGGGACACATACGTCTCAAACCAACCACAGCCTGAAAGCTGCTGCCTCATAGACACTGTCGGGCGACGGACTCAAGGTGACGGAGATCAAGACAGTGAGTGGGCACGGCTGAGACGCTTCATATCAACATACAGACACTAAGGTGTAAATTGTAGTTTAAAATGAGTTGCAATACATACAAAATATATATATATAAAAAAACTATCTCAACTGTCAACAGACTCTTACTTTACGGGTTGCAGGACAAGTAGAAAC